TCCGCCTCCCGCCCAGGACATGAGAACGGGGAGGGTTTGTGCGCAGGGCGGCTTGGGAGGGTTGCGCTTAATTAAGATGGGAGGGGGTTTTCGCGGCCGTTGGAAAGGGTAGAACGAATTAACCTTCAACTGGGCGCGAAGCGGGGCTTCGGCCGAGGTCGGAAGCTGCAGGGCAGCCGGCACGCGTTACGACATTCTCCGGAAGGCTGGTTTGCAGACGCGGCAATTGCAACTTGTTGGGGATGTGGATATCCCGGTGACATCCAGTGGTAGGAGAAAGTAGTAGTCGAGTACGACAAGGTCGAGCTCTCTGCTCCGTTGAGGATGCAGTCCATAGCGATCCAGATCTGCAAAGTATGAATTGCGATCCGCGTGGTCCAGCAATGACATAATGCAATTACAGAATGCAATTATAAAATGCAATTACAAAATGCAATTACAGAATGCAACCACACCAGCTGACGTCAGCTGGTGTGGTTGCCGGCACTGCGCAGCAAATCCAATGCTGCGCATTGCGGAGACGACTCCCGCACATCTACCGTAAACCCCGAATCCTTCAACTGTCCTGCAACTGTCCTTCAACTGTCCTAAGGAGAGAAACCGTCTCCCAATCGTACTAGTCCAAAGCATGATTGTAATCCCCAATCCCGTAAGATTCGCCGCGACCGCCACAATCACAACTGGGAGAGGGACATCTTCTAGAGCGATCGCCCTCTCCAACCTTCAGCACAGAAACCCGTGACATCACTAGCCTTCACACTCAGTGTCATATAGACAAGAAATAAACACACGTGCCTCTCCTCCAGCACATTTAATTCCCAACTCACGTCTGCATCGAACCTCGCCTCCCCACCTCCTGCACCTTGAAATACTCTCCCCCACGAGGGAACACGACACATAATCGACGCATCCAAACACTCTTCCCGAAATACTGTCCCGCATTGTCTATTCCAACCTGCAGACAGACATGCAACCGAACATCTGTATAAAAGACCCCAATCCTTCGAGCCGTAACCTCTTTCCACAACCACCACCAACCAGTCCCAAATTTGCCCAGGGAAGAACATCAACTATTGCAATCAAGAGCTACTCAATTTCGACATCATGAAGTTTCAAGGCTTGTTAGTCTTCTCATGCCTTGCTTTAGGCATATACGCAGCTTCTGTGCCCCTGGCCGACATCACCGCTGTTATCAAAGACGTGCAGAAGCCTGCTGATCCGGAGCTGCAGCCTGAAATTCCAGTGGAGGACCGTGACCTTCCGCTTGAAGAGTTTGGTGACTTCGATGTTTCGGGGAACGACTCTGATATTCTGGAGGCCGAGGACAACATTCCGGAGGAGAGACCGGAGGAGGAATCTGATCCTACGAACGAAGAGTTTGGGTTTCTGGGAGACGCGGAAGACGACCCTTATGCGGACGACGACCTTTATGCGGACGACGACCCTGATGCGGACGACGACCCTGATGCGGACGACGGGACTGCTGCTACGGAAGAACTGTCGTATTTTTTAGAGGAAGGCTCTGAATCTCCGGTGACATCTGCGGAAGACTTTGAAGGGAGCCAAACGACGGACAGGATGGATGTCACCTCACACACTCTCACAGGTGATCCAAACGGGACCAGTACTTCCCCACGGAACAAGTCATATTTTGGCTCACTTGTTGATGCTTTCCGTGCTTCATACACGGGAGAAAGACGTCCCAACGAAAAGCCCAATAACAAGAAGGGTAGCGCATCGCGCCCACGCGGGGGGAAGAAGAAGTACAGAGGAAAACCGAAGAAGCGCATAACGCGTGGACGTCCCAGAGGGAACCGCAACCGCGGGCGGAAGCCCACGAAGCCCCGCTCCGGCGGTCGCAAGCCTACAAAGAATCGCGGCCGCAAGCCCACGAAGCCCCGCTCCGGCGGTCGCAAGCCTACAAAGAACCGCGGCCGCAAGCCCACAAAGCCCCGCTCCGGCGGTCGCAAGCCTACAAAGAACCGCGGTCGCAAGCCCACAAAGCCCCGCTCCGGCGGTCGCAAGCCTACAAAGAATCGCGGCCGCAAGCCCACAAAGCCCCGCTCCGGCGGTCGCAAGCCTACAAAGAATCGCGGCCGCAAGCCCACGAAGCCCCGCTCCGGCGGTCGCAAGCCTACAAAGAACCGCGGTCGCAAGCCCACGAAGCCCCGCTCCGGCGGTCGCAAGCCTACAAAGAACCGCAACCGCGGCCGCAAGCCCACGAAGCCCCGCTCCGGCGGTCGCAGGCCTACAAAGAATCGCGGCCGCAAGCCCACGAAGCCCCGCTCCGGCGGTCGCAAGCCTACAAAGAACCGCGGCCGCAAGCCCACGAAACCCCGCTCCGGCGGTCGTAAGCCTACAAAGAACCGCGGCCGCAAGCCCACGAAGCCCCGCTCCGGCGGTCGCAAGCCTACAAAGAATCGCGGTCGCAAGCCCACGAAACCCCGCTCCGGCGGTCGCAAGCCTACAAAGAACCGCGGTCGCAAGCCCACGAAGCCCCGCTCCGGCGGTCGTAAGCCTACAAAGAATCGCGGCCGCAAGCCCACGAAACCCCGCTCCGGCGGTCGCAAGCCTACAAAGAACCGCGGTCGCAAGCCCACGAAGCCCCGCTCCGGCGGTCCTAATCCCAGGTCCAAGCCTTCGAAGCCTCCGACCTATACATTCTCTGGTCAGTCAGAAACGTCAGGAGCCCCACCTGGGATGCCATCCGAGTGCTCTTGCGCTCAGGTCCCCAGCCCCTCGAGCACGTGTTATTCGATGACAGACTTTGACACGAAAGCTTGCAGATCGCGTAAATGCGAGCTGAAATACGAGTGTGTAACGAGAGAAGCTTCGAGACAGTTGATGAAGACCGCACTGAACGACGCGGGCAGCCAGCTGAACGTGACGAAGACCACGCGACAGGGGACTTCGACGCTTTGCCGACTCAAGAAGATCAGTACCAGGTTGGTGCACGATCGCTTGAAGGCAGGTTTCTGCCATGAAGAGAAAGTCGATTCTTGGGCATACTTCCCATATACATCCAGCGGACGCTAAGTGCCACACGAGTAGTGATGTTCATGCTGGCTCTCAAGCACTCTCTACTTAGCGTAGTATCTCTGAAGATACCGAAAAGGAAATCGACACGCAATCACAATAAAAGAAAACGGCTTTGGCCTAGCCATCGTGGTTATTGATCTCTTGCAAAACATGTTTCCACGAGCCCTCCGCGTGAAGGCTCATATTTGGCGGACTAGCGCGGGCGATCTGCGCAGTATACATTTTCCTGAGACCTTCTGTAGCCGGCATCACGAACGGGTTAGGAAGGAAGGCTCGGCGGCTGGGGACGATCGTTTTACGAGACGGAGAGTTGTTGTGAAGTCATATTCTTGCAAAGGAAACCTGACGCTGGGCGTACCCTTCGAAGGGTAGGTGCTTTAAAAAGCGACGACCCGACTTGCTCTCCGAAGACACCTCTCCCCTTAATCCAGATGCGCCATATCTGGATCGCGACTCATGTGATCCAGCAATGTCGCCAGCTACTGTTGGCATTAATTGTGATCTATCCTTTCCAATTGCAGTAGCCTAATTACATTTACTATTTGTATTTGCATATGCGTCCGCTTTTCCTCCCAGAGTCTTTCATTGCTAAGAACGCCCCAATATCGCACATTACAGAGCCCACTGCTGCGCTAAAGGAAGGCGGTCCCTTCCTCGACCAGTTTGGATTGCCAATCTCTCGGCAAACTTTCACGCCTCTCCGTTGGTTTTGATGTCATTGCGATGACTAATCACCCCTCCTTGAAAAGATTTAAAGTCACGGTCGCTTGTCAATCCCGCCGGCTTCGTGGCAGCCTTTGCAATCCAAAACTATTTCCTCTCCCATTCTATTATCTCTTTTAAACAGAACAATTCCAGAACCCCCACTCTACCCTGCATCCCTCGCCTCTCACATCTCTTACCGAACCAATTACTCACTCTAGTACCGCTCCTCAGCATACACCCCCCGTAATAATGTACATCTCCACTCTCCAAGGCTCAACCCCTACCAAAATCCTCCCTCCCCAAACTAAACACACGGCATATAAAAGGCAGAACCCGGCCAGCCAAAACAAAACCCCATCGCACACACATTTCTACCAGTGCCAAACTACCAAGCACTCCACACTCAACACAAACACTAGTAACTTCTGCGGCTCAGGAATTTCACAATGAGGTCCTTACGCTGCCTCGCCGTTTTCTGCATATTTGCGAGCGTTTACGCAGCCACTTTGCCATCCGCTTACACCACAGATGGCGTTAAAGACTTGCAGAGGTCTGCTTTTCCGGCGCTACAGCCTGATTTTCCAGAGCGGGAGAGTAATTCTTCCGATTTCTCGGAAGAAGAGTCTGATCTTTTGAGGGACCACTTTGATGATTTGGTGGAAGACTCTGCCATTTCGGAGGACTTAGAAGACATTCCGGAGGAGGAGTCCGCTGATATTCCGGAGGAGGAGTCCGCTGATATTCCGGAGGAGGAGTCCGCCGACATTCCGGAGGAGGAGTCCGACCCCACCAAGGAGGGGTCTGTCATTCCGGTAGAGGACATTGATGCGTCGGGGGAAGATGATCCTTTGGGGGACCACTTTGATGATTTGGTGGAAGACTCTGCTATTTCGGAGGACTTGGGCGAGGAGGAGATGTCCGCTGATATTCCGGAGGAGGAGTCCGCTGATATTCCGGAGGAGGAGTCCGACCCTACCAAGGAGGGGTCTGTCATTCCGGTAGAGGACATTGATGCGTCGGGGGAAGACCTCGCGATTCCAGAGGAGGACTTTGAAGTTCCAGACGGGACGTCTGAAATTTCGGAGTCAGAAAATTCGCAAGAAGACTACTACGATCCGGAACACGAGTTTGATGATTGGGAAGAGTTTGATGATTGGGAAGAGTTTGACACAGACGAGTCTGAGGCGGATGATGGGCCTGCTACTGAGGGGGAAAGGACCGATTTTTTAGAGGAGCCTGAATCTCCGGTGGCATTCCCGGAAGATTTGGAAGGGAGCGAAACGACGGACAGGATGCATATTACCCCACACGATCTCACCGGTGACACAAACGGGAACACTGCTTCCCTACAGAACAAGTCCTACTTTGGCTCTATTGCTAATGCTCTTCGTGCTGCATACGCGGGAGGACGCCCCGACGACAGGCGCAAGAATAAGAAAGATCGCGTGAACCCTAAGCGAACGAAGCCTACCAAGCCCAGGGTCAAGCGCACAAAGCCGAGACCCGGTCGCAAGCCAAAGAAGTCGCGCACTCGCACTCCCCCGCGTAAGAGACCCCGCAACCCCAAGAAACCACGCACTGGCACTCCCCCGCGTAAGAGACCCCGCAACCCCAAGAAACCACGCACTCGCACTCCCCCGCGTAAGAGACCCCGCAACCCTAAGAAGCCACGCACTCGCGGCCCCCCGCGTAAGAGGCCGCGCAACCCAAAGAAACCACGCACTCGCACTCCCCCGGGTAAGAAGCCGCGCAACCCCAAGAAACCACGCACTCGCACTCCCCCGCGTAAGAGGCCGCGCAACCCAAAGAAGCCACGCACTCGCACTCCCCCGCGTAAGAAGCCGCGCAACCCAACGAAGCCACGCACTCGCACTCCCCCGCGTAAGAGGCCGCGCAACCCAAAGAAGCCACGGACTCGCACTCCCCCGCGTAAGAGGCCGCGCAACCCCAAGAAGCCACGCACTGGCACTCCCCCGCGTAAGAGGCCGCGCAACCCAAAGAAGCCGCGCACTCGCAGCCCCCCGCGTAAGAGGCCCCGCAACCCAAAGAAGCCCCGCTCCGGCGGTCGCAACCCCAGGTCCAAGCCTTCGAGGCCTCCGACCTATACATTTTCTGGTCAATCAGAAACGTCAGAAGCCCCCCCTGGGATGCCATCCGAGTGCTCTTGCGCTCAAGTCGCCAGCCCCTCAAGCACGTGTTATACGATGACAGACTTCGACACAAAAGCTTGCAGATCGCGTAAATGCGAGCCGAAGTATGAGTGTGTAACGAGCGAAGCCTCGAGACAGGTCGTGCAGGCACTGAACGGCACGGACGGCCAGCTGAACGTGGCGCAGAGCACGCGACAGGAAGCTTCGACGCTTTGCCGACTCAAGAAGATCAGTACCCGGTTGGTGCACGATCGCTTGAAGGCAGGTTTCTGCCATGAAGAGAAGGTGGATTCCTGGGCGTACTCCCCGTACACAACGGCCTAGAGCACTACTCGAGCAGTGGTGTTCATGATGGACTCCAACCAATCTCCACGTAGCGTAGTATCTCTGAAGATTCCGAAATGGTAATCGATATGCAATCACAATAAAAGGAAAGGACTTTGGACTAGCCATCATTGTTCTTGACATCTTGCAAATTAATTCTCCACACGCCATCTCCATGAGGGCCCGACCTTTGTCGATCGACACAGGTAACTAACATTGCGTACATTCGATTAAGGCCTGTAGCATACATCACGAACGATTCAGGGCGGCGCGGCGGTTGAAGACCATTGTTCTCTGGGAGACTGAAACATGGAAAGACAATACCTCGCACGGAGAGGACGACGCTGTGTGCCAGATAGACCCGACTCGACAATCTCCGATCTGCTCACCGAAGACACCTGTCCAAATAATCGAGATGTGCCATTCCAAAATCGCGATTCACGTTGTCCAGCAATGTCCTTTGCTCAGCGGGCGCGCAAGGGCTTTGACATGTTTGTAATGATAACCATACATGCACACACGTGCACACGTAATACACGGCTCACAACGCCGCACAGACGACGGCGCTAGGTCGCTAGTCTTAAGAGAATGAGTGAGAGTGAGAGAAGTAAATGAGAGTCATCGTCTCGTCACCACAGGTTATGGACCCTACGCAAAAACCACTGCAGATCGATCAACAAAAAAAGGTGCAACAACCCCGACGATCAACCAGGCAGCGACACAAGCCACCAACACAAGCCACCCACCCTGGCAACCTGGAATATCGCCCTGCAAACCCCACAACACCCACACCACAACTCAAGAGCCGCCCTCCTCCTCCCCCGCCCGCAGACAATAGCAACAACCCCACAACCATGGCAGATGAAGACCACAACGACACCCGGTTCCATGGACGACTGCCGACCCTCGAGTCCAATGGGGACAACTTCCCCATATGGAAGCAAGCGCTAACGGACATGGCACTGATCAATGACATGGAAAACCTGCTGAACCATGCCTACCCTACACCCGATCAGGACAGCCCCATGTACGCCAAGTACAGGAGACAGAGTGCAATACTCCGCATGGCCATCAACAACTCACTGCCTGCAGACTTCGCAGCAACAGCGGACATGGAACTGGGCGCTTCCCCGCTTGAAATCACACAAGTCATCACCGAACACTTCACTGACAGGACGACTACAGCTCACCTACTGTTAAAACAAGAAGCGACCAACACAAAGCTTACACCCGGCACCACACTTGATGAATACATGACGAAGCACAGGGCGATACGCACAAGAATGAAGCTAGCCCAATACCCCAACATCACAACTGGAGAAGAAGTAACAGTACACTTCATCATCCAAGGCCTAGCATCACATCCCACATACAAACACTTGCAAGATATGTGGATCGAAACGGACACTGTGCCCAACACAATTCACAACATCGGGCAACGCCTCAAAGCGGTGCACGCAAGGAGCTTGGAAAAAGTCAGCCAAAAACCTGAACAGCCACACGGCACCCAACCCCAAGCAGCGAGACGCCCCCGCGGACGAACAACTAGATGGAGAGGGGCCACACGACCCAAATGGCAACGACCATACTGGAACCCAGTACCGCCCGCACCGTATATGCTACCATACCCCCAGTTCATGACACAGCAGCCCCCAACCCAAAAATGGACCACAGAGAGAGGCATGAAAAAGAAGCAAACACACGGCTACACAGCAAACCTCCACGAGGAGACAACAGAGGCAGAACACATGGGCGACGAGCAGGGAGACGCGAACTGCCACGACATGGACGGTAGGAAATTTGCACTCGATTCGGGAGCCCACCCCTCCCACATCCGCAAACCAACAAAAGGCATGAAACCCCTGACCAGAAAAATCCGCACTAACACGGCAACATCAACTACACCCCCCGCGACGCACCACGGTACTCTTCAGATCCAGACGACGAGCAACAAATCGCTTAAGCTACCCACCATTGCCAACCCACATATCAAGACCAACCTATTGTCAGTCCATGACATAGCCAAGCAATGGGGAGCTGTGATATTCTACCCCCACACAGCCCGTGTACTCGACATGAGCCACAGCCCACCAAAAGTAGTAGCTACAGCAGCATTTCGCCAAGGCTTATACACGCTCAACGTGGCCAATCCTCAACCACAAGCAACCACAGTTCGAGCAATACCGCAGCCACGCAAAGCAGCTCGCAAGACACCGCAAACACGCGTAACCACCACAACACGGGGATCCCCTGCCCACAAATCAAAATCTCAGCCAAGATCACAAACCCCGAGCGCGCATAAAAAATTTGCCCCCATGCACAAGCAGCACAACCCTGCCCCCTCACCCCCTGACACCGTCAACGCGCGCACGCAGCACGAACACCACCATTGGCACATGGTATTCAATCATGTGCGACCATCCACTATACAACAAATGGCTAGGAGGAAACTAATACCGAACCTCCCAGCCTCACTGGCCAACACCCCCCCTAGAATCACGTGCACAAGCTGTGCAGCAGCTAAACTCCAACCAGCACAACACAAACGGAAAGATCATAACTATGGCACAGGGGAAGCACTCAGTAGTGACATCTGCGGCCCTTTCCCCACCCCATCACGGCAAGGAAACAAATATTTCATGACAATAATTGACACAAACTCACGGTATCTCATACTCACCTTCCTCAAAACAAGGGATGAAACCGCAAACCAAATGGACAACGTCCTAAAGCACATGCAACAGCAAAACCCCACACATCAAGGAGAGTACACACAGATAACGCGAAAGAGTATCTATCGGCAATGACAAAAACAGTATACAGCACAAATGGTGTACAACACACGACCACTGTACCGTATTCACCACAAGAAAATGGCATAGCCGAACGCATCAATAGAACCATACTCAACGCAGCACGCGCTGCATTACACCACAGTGGACTCCCCACCGATCACTGGGAAGATGCAATCAAGGATGCAGCATTCAAGTACAATAACACGCTCCACCTCGGCATCGGAAAAATTCCATCCACAGTCTGGCTCGGATACAAGCCGAAAGTACCACAATACCTCATCTTCGGGCAGTTAGGCCATATCCCCAATATCATGGGCAAAACAAAAATGCACAAGCTGCAGAAAAGAGCCCTCACGGTAAGATACCTGTATGCAACGGACCAGAAACACATCATGGTCATGAGCACAGAGGACAACACAACCAGACGTGTCAGAACAGTGGATTTCAACATCTACCACAGAGACCGCGACCCCAACAACCAAAGTTACGCGGCATTCAAGGCGTTCACACCCAAGCCAACACCTTCGAAAATAACCAATACCACTCCTGCCCCCATGCATCACGGGCAAGCCAAAAATTACCCGGATGCAAAAAAGTGGGCGCAAGCTCACAACACAGAGCTCAGAAACCTCGACCAAAACAAGGTCATCACGTGGCTCCCCCACCACAAAATTCCCACAGCGGCCAAACCCATCCCGCTAACGATGGGGTACCGCTATAAGAGAAATGGCAAAGGGGAGATCACAGAACGGAAAGCAAGGTGCTCAGCAAGAGGAGACAAAATGCTCCCCAATGTCCACTTCGACCCCGAAAAAACCACGACGTACATGGCTGACAAAACCACGGTACGACTCCTATTCGCCATAGCAGCAGCCTTCAACATGCACATAGCCCACATAGACATAAAAGCCGCATACCTGCACGAAAAGTTTGAACACTCAGGCAGCGAGCAAGTGTATGTCCGCCAACACCCAAGATTCGACGGCACGTACACTCATGAACACAAGGTGGGCAAGCTCAACAAGAACATATACGGCACACCGGGAGCGGGACACACCTACCTCAACGCAGTATTCAAACTACTCAAAAAGAACAAGTTCATCCAATCTGAAGCTGACATGTGCCTCTTCCACAAAAAAGACAAAAACCACACAATAATAATCTCCATCAGCATGGATGATTTTACAATCATAAGCACATCACAAAAACTACAGAAAGAGTTTGCCGCGATCCTGGCCACGGCCTATAACATCAAACAGCTAGGCGAACCAAGCCAGCTCCTAGGCTGGACCGTCAAGCGCATGAAAGACGGCTCCATACATGCATCACAGCCAACTGCGATACAGTACGTTGTCAACAAAGCAGAAATGAGCAAGTGCAACAGCAAACCAACGCCATACAATGACAAAACAAAGCTGAATGGCCCGGTTCCCGAAGACGAACCCATGCCCCATGTCACCAAAATATACCAACAGCTGCTTGGTGACATACGATACATTGCCGACTCCACGCGACCAGACATATACTTTGTCGCAAACCGATTATCTGTGGCGGCAAAAAACCCAACGACACGGCACTGGAATGCACTCAAGCGCCTCATCAGATATCTTAAACACACCCAAACGCATGGAATCAGATTTGCAGCAGGAAAACATAGCATGCAACCGCACTGTATCCCCAACCTCCTCGAAACATACAGTGATGCGGACTTTGCCGCAGACGTCACAGACCGTAAATCCATGTCGGGCATGATCCATACATACCACGGCTCCCCTGTCTGCTGGGGATCAATCAAGCAATCCATCACGGCACTGTCGACATGCGAAGCAGAATATATTGCCGCAACATCGGCAGCACAACAAACAACGTGGATAAGAAGATTGCTCAAAGACATCGGAATGTTATCACAAAAAGCCACACCCTTTCATATAGACAACCAATCCGCAATACGCGTGGCCAAGAACAGCGGACCCACGAAACGAAGAAAATTCATTGACCTCCGGCATCACTACCTCACTCACCAGACCAGAGCAAAAACCATCAGTATACGACACATACAGTCACAAGACATGCTCGCCGATATACTCACAAAGCCGCTAACACCGAAACCATTCACACACTTAAAAACCAAACTGCAAGTGTGTGACCCCCCGACCCCGCACCAAACAAAGGATCGTGCCACAGCGACGGGGGGAGTGTAATGAT